CCCCAAAACCCCAAAACCCCAAAACCCCAAAACCCCAAAACCCCAAAACCCCATCTATAAATTTAATAATAGAGTGTCTTTATATTATTTATAAAATATGGTAAGCTTAGATTCAAAATTGGCCTGAATAGTTCAGTTGCAAATATATGAAGACAACTATAGCTTAGCATTAAATTGAAATAGAGTGTTGGGACAATCATTCTGATTTTTAGCTGATTAAAATACTTTTCAGAATGCTTTAGAAACTTTTGTAATCTAGTTCTTGTAAAATGAATACTGAGTCTTTCAAAAATATACCAGCACAGCTTTGGTTGATGTAAATACCCAAATAATTATTCCTAATGCACAATAAATGTTTATCCTAGTTGAAGCTTTAAAAATGTGTTATAATAACATGTAGGTCCATTTCCCAAAAACCCTGAGGACATACTGTAAGAAAGCCAGAAAACACTCTGTCTTCAAAGTATCGATTTACAAGAAAGGAAAAGATGGTATCAGACATCAAGGTAATGGATACTTGAAATGCTATTCAATCATTAGTTTGTGTTCAACTACATACTCTGTGCCTATGGTCCAGAACTAACCTTGTTGTTTAGGAAAGAGAAGATACGATAGGAAACAGAAAGGATTTGGAGGTCAGACCAAGCCAATTTTCAGAAAGAAGGCCAAACAGACCAAGAAGGTCACTCTCAAGTAAGCATCTGCTTATTTTCTAATGGATATAATTGATCATTAGTCTCAGAGATAATTAAAATATTACAATTTTTGAGCTGAGGAAGAATATTGTTTTCAAAGAGATCGATCTCATTACATATTTAGGCTCGAATGTATTAAGACCAAGGCAAAGAGAATGATGACCTTGAAAAGATGCAAGACCTTCGTCGTCGGACAATCTAAGGAGGCCAATCCTTACGACTAATTTGGCAGACATCCCATGTCTTAAATAAATGCTAAGATTTATTTTGGGTTATTTCAATTGAGTCTCTTCTCTACGGGGTTTTGGGGTTTTGGGGTTTTGGGGTTTTGGGGTTTTGGGG